AAAAGGCCGCTTTGAAATTGCTCGGGCCTGTGCGAAACCCGCCACCCCAAAAACCTGCAGTGTCTTGTGTCTGGACCTCTAGGCCCTGTCCGGTGGGGTGAAACGACATTGAAAAATCAACCCATTATTTTTCTAGGGGCGGCCAGGACCCGATAAACGTCCTGGGCCGCCCCAATTTTTTATTTTTATTTTTGCCCCAGAGGCCTCAATCCAGACATATTGTCCAGACACCGGACACCGGACTGTCTGGAACCCGGTCTGGACGTCCGGGCAATTACATGTCCGTGTTCGCCTCCGAACACGAACACGATGCTACGCAGTCACGCACGATTTATGAAAAGCTCATTATTAATAGCGAAAACTGAAATAGCAGGATTGTCAGAACTACCCACTGGAACAACACAAAAAGCACACTCATAATGATTGTATTGGACCTGAGAGATCGCTTGTATACATGCGAGATGCGCTGAAAGATAGCAGCAATCGCAACACATACACGCAGGCACAACCACACTCTTTTTGGGCCTGCTGTTGTAGCCTGTTGAGCGCAGCCACACGCTTTCTTTAACACCCTTTGTCAAGTAGGATTTTTTACGAGGGTAGGGGCAGGGCTTGCTATACCACACCTCGCCCCTCCCCCTTTATTTTTTTGTGACCCCTGTTTATTTTGGGGGTTGGTAGTGCATGCGTAGCATTGCCTACACTTGTGCTGTGCGCCCTGCGGGTGCACGATATGCGTCACAAGTATGGGACAACTTCATACTCTTCCTTCTTTTCTTTTTTTTTTTTTTTTCTATTCCATCCTCCTGGCCAAAACAAGTTGGGTCAATCACCAAACCACTTGACACACGTCTAGGACGCTATGGCAGAATGCTTGTTTTTTTCGGACCGTGCTGCATGGCTTGTGCCTTTATGAGTTTTTTAACGACGACCTATGCGGTCCTGTTCGGGAGTGATACGACATGTTGTCTTCTTCTCTGTTCATGGATGGTCTCTCTTCTTCTTCTTCTTCTTCTTCTTCTTCTTCTTCTTCTTCTTCTTCTTCTCCTGTGTCCTGCTTTGCATGTCGTCATTTCCGTGGATGTATCTAGTCCGGTGCTATGTCATGGTGCATGATTGGATTTAGGCCTTTGGCTGACACTCATCTGTTGGCTTTGCAAAAATGTATGGTTGTTGTCGTCACTATTTGTGATACACCTACACCAAAAGGTTGCAGCTGAAAAGAATTGTAAACTCCAGGGGCGAGATCCCACTAGCATAGAGGATTGGATTTTGAGCCCCTGAATCTGGACATGTTTGCGTACACGTGCAGAATGTTGCGATTGATCCGCCTTCCTGTATTTTTCCATAAACCTTATCCAGATTCAGGTGGTTAATCCAATCCTCTTTCCTAGTGGGACCTCGCCCCAGGAGTTTATTTTTGGTGGCTCTCGTTCCTCGATCCTGTTGGACGTTGTCATATCCGTTAAAATAGGAATGACACGCACATGAAATATGCCCCCNCCCCAAAGAAAAAGGAAAGATACATAGAAGATTATCATCCCCCCTGCACATTCAAGGATGCCACGCACAGATCCCTTTTTTTTTTTTTTTTTTACCAGATCGCGATTTATCGTCCAAAGAAAGAATAGTTGCTCTCATCTTTAATATCGCGTAGATTCAAGATTGGCCATTTTGTGCTTGCGACTTTTCACTCCCATGCCTTGACTTGTTTTCCTTTCCTGCGATCATAAGTGCCTACGGTTTACCGGGCAGTTCTGTTTGTGACGATATATGATGCCATGAAGGAACGCAACAACAAGAACAACAACCACGACAAGAAGCCAGCAGTGAATCACAAGCTCTCGTATACGGCTCAAGGCATTTGGAAACTTGTGGGACTAATGGCTAGGCTACAAGCCGGGCCGCCCGAGTCCCGGGTGGCCAGCCCGTGCAAGGACCAGGGAAGGTCCAGCAAAAAAAAAAAAAAAAAGATCAAAAAAATCCGGAAAAAAAACTATGTTATGCAGAAAAATAAACTGAACAAATTTAGAAAACTTTTTTTTTTTTTTTTTTTTTTTTTTTTTTTTTTTGGCCCGGCCGGGCAAGTGACCCCGGGCCACTCTGGTAGCCTAGACTAATGGGATATTAATCATATTATTGGATCATTGTCATTAATGTTGCTATGGTACCTCCGGTACGTTCGGTGTTTCAGGGTCATATCTGGAGAGCAGGTTATGCCATGGGTCAGCTTCAGGCTCTGATGTATGACGATGTCCCAAAGGCGATGGGACTATGGCAAGATGCTGGCCTCAAGGTTGAAAGCGTTAACTTGAACCCATCTTCCTTAACCTGTCCTCCTCAAAAAAAAAAGAAAAAAGGGTCCCACATGTTGTCCCACTCCACCGTCTGTTCTCAGGTCCCGGAGAATTATCCCTCTTTTCATTGTTCTGGAGTCGATGCATGCTCTTTTCGAAATCTTTGTGGTTTTTTGTACGCTTCATGGGTAGAACTCGTAGCTTGAACCCAACCTCCCTTAACCTGTTCTTCTCAAGTCCCATAGCATGTCCCACTCTCCGTCTGTCCTCATGTCCCGGAGGATATCTATCCCTCTTCTCAAGTCCCACAGCATGTCCCACTCGCCGTCTGGAGTCCGTGCTCCTTTTGAAATAATGTGACTTAGTACTCTTCTTGGAATGATGGCAGTAGGCAGCCCACAAGATGTGCAGGCCGATGAGTAAGCAAGCCATCAGTGGCTATGGCGGCGCCCAATTGTCATCATCAGTGCGGTGTTTTCTTCTTCCGACTTTGTTGTGAACTTTTGAGTATGCATCTGGTCGCAATTACGTCCAGAGAGAAGTTGAAATACTCCCTACTGTGAGTATGCCCTTTCTCTTTTCTGCAATTCATGCATGCGTCAGGCAGTTGACGCGTGTGATTTCTCGTTGCATTGCTTCTTTGTTTGTTGGTTGAATTCAGACGTATATCTACTCGAGTGGGAGTCGGGAGGCCCAGCGCCTCTGTTTCGGGAACACAAATTTTGGTGACCTGCGGAGGTATTTAAGCGGCTACTTCGACACCACTGTCGGGTAAGAAGACAATGCTACCTGAAAAGAGGGAGAAAAAAAATAAAAATAAAAAAATAAAGAGACAATTCTACAACTTGCGAGTGCGGGAAGCCGACAATATTTTCCTTTCAGCCTTTCAGGAGTATTATCCCCTTCTTTTCTTTTTCTTTTTTTCCTTTTTTTATTTATTTATGGCAAACTGCATATTCAATGTTCATTGCATTTGGTTTAAAACATTGTTAGATGGAAATTGAAGATTAATATTTCAGAAATTCAGAACAATGGATGAATGCGAATGAATCGTCAAGGGGATTTTTAACCAAGTATTGTGCGCTTATGCACTTTTCTTTTGGTCAAAAAACAGAAGAGGGAGGGATTAAAACTCAACAGAAACCCACTGATTTGAAAGCGGGGGGGGGGAAAGCGAAGAAAAGACGTCTTTGTTAAACTTGTAGTCCTTTTTTTCCTTTTTTTCCTTTTTTTTCCTTTTTTTCCTTTTTTCCCTTTTTTCCCCTTTTTTCCCTTTTTTTCCCTTTTTTCCGTTTTTTCCTTTTTTTCTGTGATTGGTGAAAACCCACATATTTGCATTGTGTCAGATTCTGTGTCTCTCATATTTGCATTGAGGTTGATGAATTGGTCATCTCCTTACGCAGGGGCAAGCGGGATGCCAAGAGTTATGTCGAAATATATCTCTCTCTCGGGGTGGACGAGCCATCGGAGATCACGTTCGCGACAGATGTGTTGCAGGAAGCTCAGGCTGCAGGGAGTGCTGGTAAGAATTGACATCACATATCAACCATATCTTCAGCTCTGCTGCTGCGGACTTGGGTTTTTGTTTTTTTTTCCAGTTGCTGCTGCCGACTGGGGTCTAGTTATTAACTTATTTAAAGTTATTTTATGCATCTAATGCCTCAAAAGTTGCGATCAGCTTCTATACAGCAGATTGTTCTGGTCCCCAACGGGCCTAGCTCAGAGTTTGTTTGTTTGTTTGTTTTTTCCATGCTAATCTTCCTTTCTCTGTATCGTTCCAATTTTAACGGACGTCCCGAAGGACAGTTAGCTCAGAGTTGGTACGCCCATGAACTGTTGAAATTTGAAATAATGTTGAAAAAGAAAAGAAAAGAAAAGAAAAGAAAAAGGCAGATTGTTGTGGTTGTTCCAGAATCCGGAGAAATTATTGGTGTTGGTTGCCCTTTTCCTTTCTTTCTTTTTTTTTTTTGTATTTTTGCTTTTTTTCTGAAGGGGGTAGCCCATAACCCTAGTGTAGCCATCTACTGCTTTTGATTTTGATTCCATCAGGATGTGAACTCGTCTTCTGCTTACGAACAGTTAACATGGGTGCACCACTCAGCCACATGGGCTGGGTACCATGCAGTGTCTTTGTCCCAGTTCCGCGAAACAGATCTTTGTCATTCTTTTCTCATAAAAGTATCACGACTGTCAGTTGGCACAATCTGCGCCCGGGGTCCCTCTAAATAGGCCTTAGGTCCAAGTCCTAGTCTAAACCGGTAGGCCAAGTCAAAAATCGGGTCCGGTTCCCCCCCCTCCCTAAATAGGCCTTAGGCTACGTAGGTAGGCGCTGAAACGACACAGGCCTAGTCTAAACCGGTAGGCCAAGTCGAAAATCGGGTCCGGTTCCCCTCCCAAAAAGTCTCAGACCCTGAGTCCCAGTCACAGCAACATTTCAGCAAAAGTACCGGTACCATACCAGGCCAGGCAAAATGTGAGGTACCGGCTGGTACCTGAGGCTGAAGGGCTGAAAGGGCGAAGCAGCACTATAGAGGGGGAGTCCAGTCCGGAGGATTCATTCGCGAGTGAAGTGGAAACGCTGCTTGGCGACTTGTGGTGTGTCGCATTGGGGAAGTAGGCACTGGACGTCTGCAGAGCGCCTGGAGAAGAAGAGGGCCTGGGAAAGGAGAAGGCCTGGCTGCCATAGCCGCCCATAGTAGTTCAGCGTAGGGTATTCAGGTAGATCAAGTTAGGAGTCATAGAGAGAGAGACAGCCGAAGAGAGAGAGAGGGAGTAGAGTTCACCTATGTGTGGAGAGCCTTCCTTGATCGCCTATGTAGTTCAGCGTAGGGTATTCAGGACTCGCGCTGAGCGCCTGACGACACAATCTATGTTGTAACTAAGCTGTCTTCAAGTATAAGTGTGGCACTTATGATAATTTTGAGGTTTCAGAGTTTGGTGTGATCTCTCTCATCATTCCATGTGTGCGTAGAAGCGAAATGAACTCCGTATCATTTCTCTCACTGTAGTTTCACAAAACAGCGGTGCTTCCTTGATCGGTTGCACTTTTTTTCTCCCCGGGCAACTCATATTCAATGTACCGGGGCCATTACCCGACTTCCGCAGAGAAAAAAAGGGTGGACCATTTCCTATAAGGGACCGGGAACTGGGCCCAGTTCGCAGCAGCACGTGTTTTGCTTCCCACGAATAGAGTGGACCATTTGCCCTTACCACAAAAAAAAAAAAAAAAAAAAAAAAAGAGCCAGCACCGCTTCCTTCTGTTGCCCTGTCTGGTTGTGGTGTCAGCTAGGAGCAGTCTGCAGAGAATGGCTCCCCCGTTAAAAAAGGTTTAAACTTTAAACTTTAAAGCAATGCTCCCCTGGCCATCTCCTGTGCGGGACCCATCAACCATGCTCATGGAGAGCGGGTACCATCTTTTCTTGCCCTACTCTTTCCGTACCATTTTCACCGGAATAGAATGCCTGGTAAGTATTGCTGCATCTGGACTTGAAGTTGCCCCCTCAATTACAGGTACAATGACCGGGCGCATTCTGTTGTGGTGAAGACGGTAGGGAGAAAAGTGGGAAAGAAAAAGGAGGTAAATGGAAATCTGTTCTATTACGCAAAGTGAACTAACCAAAGTATTTGCTGTCCACCACTTTGCTCATCTTCTGTGGTTTAGGGTTATTCGCCATAAGGGACCCCCGCTAAGGATAGCCAGAGCAGCCTGTGACATCGGGCAGGGTCTGGAGGGAGTAGTCAGTGAAGAGTATCAGCCCTGAAACATTCATCTGGCGCCCCTCTCCGAGGGTGAAGAGATACACAATACTCCATGTTCGTGAAGGACTACACTACTTAACACTATACAGGCCTGCTCAGTCGATCCCCTGGGTTGTAGGGCAATCAATTGCTGGCAGGCGCCACAGTCTCAGTCCTCATCTTCCTCACCTTGTCTCAGACAGTTCATTCTTAGATATGCTCAGACATCCTCAGACATTCCTCAGACATTCTCAGACATTAGTTTTTTTGTAATATGGGACGCTGGACCCGTTTTCCGGCAAATGATGCTCCCCACCAATACACGGATCCTCTCCCTAGGTGTTAGTGCTGTCTGCTCTTATCGGAAGCACTAACACTGGCGGGGGCGTTTGTTTAAAAAAAAAAAAAGAAAAAAAAAAAAAAGGTTATTCGCCATAAGGGAGAATATACTCCCTCCCTCCCTCCCTCCCTCCATCCATCTTATGGGTGCCTTCTTTGTCAGAAGAGAGAGAGAGAAAAAGAGAGCATGCAAACATTGTAGAGTATCGCGAAATCAACTTGAAAACGTGAAAGCCAAGTACCCAATGAAAAGGAGCCAAACATCCTTTGTTACAAACCGAAAAATTAATTCAACAATGAATGCGGGCCATATATCGGACAGTTCAACAGCAAAGGGACCCAGTCTACATCGGTAACCCACTCATCCGTCTGTTGAGACCTTCAAGATCTGTGTGTGGGTTCGAACCCCAGGCTCTATATGGGTGTCAGACAACCTAGCCTTGATGCGCGCGCGTGTGTGTGTGTGTGTGTGTGTGTGTGTGTGTGTGTGTGTGTGTGTGTGTGTGTGCACATTGTAACCGAGTGAGTGTGGCTAGTGACTGAGCGATCATGAGAGCGAGTGAGTGACTGAGGGTGTGTGCATGTGAATGTGCGAGTGAGTCGGTGTGAGAGAGTGTGAGTGGGTGGGCGGGTGAGTGGGTAAGTGGGTGACTGGCGGTCCGTGCCTAATGTGGGCGAGTGATGCCGGCCAGTGCATCGAAAACCAAAAGAAACGTTGGCGCCAGCTGGCACATCGAAACGGTCGAAACCAAAAAACGAAAGGTAAATTGACTCCAGCATGCACCCCGGAAACCAAACAGCGGACAAGAAGACGGAAAAACAGCTAGTCCGAGACCAAAGAACAAGGATGCATGCGGGGACTGGCGCCTCAAGACCCCGAAAACAGAGTGTATGTGCACGGAAAAGCAGCAGCAGGCAGATAGGTCTCCGGCATCGGGCATGCACGACATCCAAAACGAGTACCGGGGCTGGGAGTCCTGGGACCACACCTGCTGCAAAATGAAAGTACTGGTATGCCCCGGTGCCAAAGAAACTCTGTCTGAAATTTTGATTTATTTTTGCAACATACATTGTCACAGAGGCCCCGATGAAGCATATTGAACGGGGACGTGGGAAACTGACACGAAAAGGAGAGGCCGAACCGTGTATATACCTTTAGAATCAGTGTAGATACATTGCCAAAACGATCGTTGATGACAAAGGAATCGACGGCCTGTTTCATCGACTTTCGTGTGACTTTCGCCGTGTCGTCAGGCGACTTAGGCTGTAGCCGCTGTACACATACGTGTACGTTGGTAGAACCGAACAGACATGCACCGAACAAGTCAACGAGGAGGGTTTCGTTGTGTTTCATGTTGCTGGCGATTTTTTCTCATTGGTTGTTGTGCGAAATTACGGTCCATAAATCCCGCCTGATCAGAATCGTTAGCGTCCGTAAATTCTCGATGTCGAGCTACCATTGCTATTGTTTCTTCAAATGGGAATGATGCTAGTCAATCGATATGTCCGTAAATTTTCGATGTCGAGCTACAGATCGATATGTAACAGACTACGAGTATACTCGCACTACAGTAGACCCTTAGGATCGCAGAATTGCAAAATCAGCGGCCAGATCGAGTCCTCCTTTTAGAAAGACTCGATCTGGCTGCTGATTTTGAGATTTTCTGTGACTATAAGGGCCTCTACCGTCTTCCCCCGAACATAACGCACCCTTAAAATGAATGTATACAAGTTATATTTCCGGCCAGATACAGTCAGAATGAGGGTGCGTTGTGTTCGAGGATGGGAAGGAGTAGGTCTCGCATCATATTTGTTAATTAATTTTTGGTTTACACGACTTCAAGCAAATAAAGCAGCTATTAAAGCAATGCTTGTGAATCGAGTAGGTGATTTTGGATTAGCTCTTGGTATTATGGGTTGTTTTGCTATTTTTCAAACAGTAGACTTTGTCAGTACACTCTAACAGTACATGTAGGCAGGTGCTGCACTGTGCTTTTTCTTCCTCATGTGCAGTTTGTTCTGCGAAAAATCTGTTAGAACTTCATCCTTTTCATACTGGAAGCTGAATGTCATCTAGTCTTCATTCTTTCCGCATTGTCATAATGATACTGTGCAATAATATGATTCTTGTTGGGTTTTTTAACTTTTGTTTTTCCCCAAAAGAATTGGACCGTTTCTCGATGTATGTGTGTCATCCTTGCGCGCAGGGGCTTCTCTGTATCGTTCCAATTTGGACGGATGTCCCAAAGGACTGCAATACGAATCTTTAACAATGCGTCGTTATTGTATGTGGCCATTAGTTAACAGGATTGCTTGTCGTGAGCTAATTAAGAGTTTGGGTGGCTGTCTTTGCCGTGCATGCACTTCAAAATTTTTGTGTGATCAGGTTTTGAGGCAGTGCTGGTGGTTCGTCCAGGAAATGCGCCTCTGCCTCCAGCATCTGAGCATGGCTTCCGGGTCATAACATCCTTGCTTGATCTTTGATGATGAATGTATATTTGAGGAAGGAGGTCGGGGGAGCCAGAGAAGAGACGGAATTCAGTCTTATCCACAGCCGTAGAAACTAGTCTGAACAAATCAATAAGCCTGTGTGCCTGGTGTGTGTG